TAAGACTTGTGGACTTCAACTCCCAGAATTCCTCAGCCAGCAAAGCTGGCTGAGGAATTCTAGGAGTTGAAGTCCACAAGTCTTAAAGTTGCCAAGGTTGGACACCCCTGCTTTAGAACATCAGAACAATGAGGAAACAATAAGCAGGGGGAGAAAGAAACTTACGGGGGGTGGTAATTGCAAACAAACAAATGCATGTCAGTATCGTTTATCAGTTCCAGAGTTTCACAGAACGTTGTTCCACAGCCAACACGTTCACTGGTGGCCCAAACTACCTATGGAAGAAAGCAATAGCCCATTTATTCATTATCAAACCAAAAGGATGTCTACGGGTGACATCTGCCTAACCTTTACTTAACTACTGAAACCATTTATCCACATGTCTATGGAGATTCTGAATGGAATTCATGAAGCTGAAGAAGCTTCTTGGAGAAAACCAGGAAGTCTCTTGATAAAGCATCTTTGGGACATTTATCCATATGTTTTCTTCAGGCAAGTTTTCAAATTGTGCATGCATTGATTTTTCACACATATTGGCCAATATTTTTACCTAAGTTTTCTAAAGGCTCATTCCTCACCTCCTATTACAGTTTACAGTGCATTTTTTTCCTAGTGTGAAGCAATACGTTACTATCAGTTTCACCTTCTTTAGAAGCATAGACTTGACCTTGTTAGAGATGGTATTTAATCAAATATTTCTCCATGAGGGGATTGGCATGCGACAATTCCTCTCTCTCCATCCTCAGTTCATTATTTTCATCACAAGATGTGTATGTTCCTTGAAATAAAATCCAATTTGTCTTATTACAAGGATACTTATTACAAGGGATACTCATTGCTCATTCACATTAGGCCACATTACAGATATTAAGAGTCCTAGAGCAGCAGTCGCCAACTGGTGAGCCGTGAGAAAATTTTGGTGGGCCACAGATAAATCTCACCCCCAGAGCACCATCCCCCCAAAGCAATTAATCCAGGCTGCACAGAAACACAAGGCTACGCCGCCCAGATGGCCCGCGGGAACCTCCCTGCCCACTCACTCCTTACCCGGTAAACTTGGCTGCTAAATTGCTATTTTTCCTTTTTCCAACCATCATCTGTTCTGCTGTGCTAGGAGATTTAGATTAGCTAGGAAGCAGGAAATGGTTGGATTTCTTGCTTTCAAGCTCGTCTTTAGATCTTCAGCTCTGCTTTTAAGTACAGCCAAACCTCCCTTAAGACTGAAGGTTTGCTTGCAAGCAAATTCAGTGCAGACTCATGGCGAGCAAATTTGAGAGACTGAGCTAGTCAATGGCAGATAGATAGATCACTGAAGGATTCTGTGAGCAACTCAATCTACCTGCTTTGCCTGATTTTGGGTAAAAGTTGCTCTTTTTTAATAAAAAATTCAATATTTACATACATGGTATATTGTGAGTTAATTTTGTGAGTTTGCTTGCTAGCAAATTTTATGAGTTTGCTTGCAAGCAAACTTTATGTGACAGACTGAGCTAGCCAATGGCAGATAGATAGATCTCTGAATGAATCTGTGATTCTGTGAGCAACTCAATCTGCCTGCCTGCTTTGCCTGATTTTGGGTAAAAGTTGCTCTTTTTTAAATAAAAAATTCAGTTTATGTAAATATAATATTTACATACAAGCCATGCCCAGCCAGTCACATGACCACCAAGCCACACTCACAAATTAGGCCACACCCACAGAACCAGTTAGTAGTCCCTGGGATCTAAAATTATGAGTTTGGTGGTCCCTGAGGTCCAAAAAGTTGGCGAACCTTGTCCTAGAGAATCAGAGGATCAGAAATTTTCAAGTCGTCATTTATTATTATTTTCCTTTTAAAAAAATACAAATTGACATTATGCAGTATCCTGTATACTGTTTTGGAAAGAAAGTGTGGAAGTAACTGCACCCCTTCCATTTAGCAATAATCTCAAGGTTAGATTATGGGAGTTCTGGGTTCAACTACTCAGTCAGCCTTGAAGTATGATCGGTTTGAGTCACTCCTCTCAGCCTGCCTACTTTAAACAACATTGTGAAGATAGACTACAGAGGAGAATAGCACAAGTCTTGTGCAAGCCTTACACATCCTATTGAATTATTAGCATTCGTTCTCAACAAATATAAGAGCAATGTCAAATGAAAACAATCCACCAGGACTAAAGATTGAAATCTGCAGGTGGGCAGGATGATAATTTCATGGCTTTCCCACAAAGGGACATGAAAATGAACTTTTCCCAACAGCAAGAACTGGTTGGAGTTTTCAGCTGAATTCAGACCATGTCATCTATTTCAGTACCACTGAAAATCGACAGGATTCTTTTTCATGAATGTGTGTCCCATTGGTTTCATTAGAATTGTAGTCACAGTTGATGGATCTAATTTATAGTTAATGGAAGTGGATTTTTTTGTTTTGTTAAAAGTTATATTATATACTAATCTAACCAGCACTGTGTGCACCCAAACTCTTTTGAAATGAAAAAAAAAAACTTGGTAACTGACAAGTGGCTTAAGATGCCTCTCACAAGATTAAGGGAACAGCTTCTCTATTATAATCTTAGCTGGGAATTAAAATGGAATTCAGAACCTAAAAAATCCACTCACTTGCAATCACTGTCAATTCTGTGCTCTATTGAATAACTGTTATCTTTCTTTCACTTATAACCTCTCTATCACTTTGGGGCTCTTCATTTCAGTAGATAGCACAATGATACACCACTTTGTAGGCATTGACTCTAAGCCTTTACCAAGATATAATTAGATACCTGGGTGTAATGACCACACATTTTCCCTTCTTCACATGCCAATGTGCTGTAGTTATAATACTGGTACTCAATATACCAATCGTTCACCGCTGTCTCCAGATCCAGGTTTCCAGACATGGCAAAAAGATTCTCTCCACGGTAGCCACGTTCTTTATTATGTTCCCAAATACATTTTGTTGAGTAGTTTTTGGCAAAGGCTTCCAGTTCTGAATCCCAGTGCTGAAATCACAATAATCCAAAACATCATCAACATCAAAATCTCCCAGAGGGTCAAAGTACAGCAATGAATACCCAGAAAAATGGCCAGAGTCCCAGGCTTCCTAGCAATAGTTGCACTTAGTGCCAGCATTAGGAGCTAGAAATATGGGGTCAAGAATCTTGAGGGTTGTTCCCGGTTTCACCTGGGAGTCATTTGCACTTTGTATGCCGAATATCATCCATCCAAATTAGTTCATATACCCCACATTCCAGGTTGTTCAGAGACCTTTGGAAAGTTGAAGCGTCTCAAGGTTACAATCTTAATAATTTCTGGCTATTAAAGAAAATGAATGCTGGTTCCTGAATTCCTCTAGCAACATTTACAATGGTAAGTATGTCAACAGAATTCAAGATTATTAAATCATTGCATAATTGTTCCTTTTTTCAAGTTATTGCTGAAATAAGGAAGCTGAGAGGATGTAAAGAAAAGATGAGTTTTCAGACTTACATGCCATATAGAACTATTTGCAATGAGAGCTATAATACTGAGATTCTGCATGTTTTTATCTTCCTTACTTGATAAGCATATTTGTTTCCCTATCATGTCGTGTAACACAGGCAGTGTCAACATCTATTTTTATATTTAATCCATGGCTACAACAGTTGTACAACATTTTAAAAGTATTTCAGTATCTTTCCTTGCATCCTATGGTACATATTGCAAACTGACACAGTGCCAAATCTATCAAGTGGGTTTACTGAAAATTTGCTGAATGAGGTAGTACTATTTTGGACAATAGCAATAAAATATTTTTAAAGTCTCCATGGCACTATCTTCATATGAAGTAAAGTAGCACATATCCTCCCTCCCACCCATCCTACAAGGGAAAGGGAAAGGGAAAGGGAAAAAGAAAGGAGTGAGGCTAACTCTTGTGCTGGACTAGGTCATTAGACCAAGCCAGGGTTTTATGCAATAGGGCTGTGATACATCTAAAAATGTTCTCTCAGTGCAATAATCTGGCCCACCTATCAGAAAGAGGTTCAATCCAAAAACTCACAGGCTGCCACCTCATTTGACATAATGTAGAGGAAGATTCTCTGGCCAGTAGCTGGTATGAATCCTCTTTTCCCATGAAGGGGAAAGGATTGTAAACATGCAAACACTCCCTGTCGCCACATGCCTAATTGAACAGCTGTGCTAGACTAGAGCCAATGCAAACATCTGGCATGCAATGCTTAATAGAGTCCAACAGCTGTTTGTCAACTGATCCCTCCAGTGTAGTGATAGACAGGCCCTTCTTATCCAGCTGTGCTCCTTAGGCTACTTTAGAAGCAGTTGTCAAGCAGGAATAACTTTTATGTATGGAGGATGACTAGGGAATACTGTGGTATGCAACTCAAGTTAGCGCTCAGTTCTAGACCATAGAACTGAGCGCTAACTTGAGTTGTGTACCATAGTACATAATATTCTGTTATACAGTTCCAAGTGTCTCTAAGTTTTGATGCAAAATAGTCAGGCAAGGGCATAGATTCAGTTGCAGAAGGGCTCAGCCGACATCCCGAAAGGACTAATTTGCAATGCAGAAGGCTCAGCACTTCAGTCAAGAAGGGAATGAAATTTGTTTTAATTCCAAAGGATGTAACATAACATAACAGTGGTGTCGATTTGATATGGAACATAGGATCTGTATCCCTGTGATAAATGTGGCTTCTGGTGCAGACCATATCATTCTGTAGAACTTGGTCACAGTTATATATACGGCATTAGGCAAGATTCAGACTATCAGTTCCACAGATAGACATATGATTAGTGGTATAATCTTATTAATTTGTACTAGATTTCAATGAACTATGGATTTTTCCTTGAACGGATTGTGTCTCAATCTCATTGAAAACAGTAAGTTCACAGAATCTGTTGCATATCTGATTTTATAAAGGAAATAAATCCAAAGATGAATGGAACCAAAAGCAATAGAATTTGTACTTCAGGGAATCATCTATCTCTACAGAAGTCTACCGTTGACTTGCCATTTTCACAGTTTCCCTCTGGCCTAAACATAGGACTAGCATATTTTTACTATATAAATCCAAGTTGGCACTAAATGGCAACACAATACTGAAAAATCCAACTCTTTTAATAAGATTTAAAAGAAGGGAAAGAAAGGATGTATAGTGCAATAATAATGAAATGCATCTATTTCTATGCAATTCAAGACAATATAAAATACAACTTCCTTTTTAAATGAGTTGAACACAGAGCACCTACAATGTATTGCCTGTTCTTATCTTTTCTGTCAATAGACAGCCAATTCAAAGCGAGAATGTGGGCCAATTCTAGGATTACAGAGATCTGCAGCCCTATCTACCCCCACCACAAAAAGATTGTCCCTGCTGCCCTAGAACAGTCTTCTTCAATGTGGAGCTTTTCACTGTTCCCATGAACTCTACCAGTGACTGAGGACAAGAGGTATTATAGGGAAACCTGCAGAAACCCAACTGAGTAACACAGATGTACCATAGAAAACTTTTCTTATTTCAAATTATCCTGTTTTTATATGGCAAATGAACAAAGACTATACGTTGGCTCATCTGGTCTTGGGCAGGGCTGGGAGAGAAAAATAAATGGCACAAGGAGATACCAGAGTCAAAAGGTTGATTTTAGGGTGGATACTTAACAGAAAGAAAAGCTTCCCACATTTATTCTAGTATAAAACCAGTAATCCTAAAGCTTAAGGTGGCTTTAATAAGAAAGGAAAGTAGCTCGTTAGAATAAGCATCGATAAAAGAGTTTGGATCATTGAACCACATTCAGAATTTCAACCATTTCAGGTTGGAACCAATAAGCAGGTGAGACCATTTCTTCAAGAATTTGTGTTTAAAGTAAGCCGCATTTCTACCACCCCAGTTTTATTCATCTTATTAAAGTTGCAAATTCCTGGAGAAAAGGGATTTTTGTACAAATCTGCATTATTAAAAGCTCTATAGAAAGAAACCCAGAACTATAATATACATCAGAACAAGAGGATAGAAACCTGACCCCTTGAGATAGTTCTAAAGTAGGGGTGTCAAACTTGCCGTGTCACAGTGGGGCATCACATGACGTATCGGGACTTTTTCCCCCTTTGCTAAACCAGGCGGGGCCATCACATGACTCATCTGGCCTGCGGGCCACAAGTTTGACATCCCTGTTCTACAGTAATGTCATTTTTAAATATTTAAATATCTGTACTTGCACAGACTATGCACAAATACACACACATACATGGACATGCATCTTTTTTCTTCCACAAATAAAGAACTGACTCACAGCAGATGAGCACTTCAAGCTTAGTCTGCTCCTTCACAGAAGCTAGGGTATGTGTGAGAGATGATATCACAAAAGCCCCAAATGGCAACTACAACCCCACAATTAAAGCCTTGGGCCCTTGGGCCTTTCTTACATGTACCATACATGCAACACCTATGGAAAAATGCCAGGGTGAAGTAATTGCTACTATTTAAAATTTTTAATCCCATTCCCTACAGATATGGCTTTGCAGGCCTTTGGTTGGCCTGGGCTATCAGATAACAGAACAACAGAAGAGCAAAGCTGGAAGGGACCTTGGAGGTCTTCTAGTCCAACACCCTGCTCAAGCAGGAGAATCTATATGTAAAAATCTCCAGTGGTGGAACACCCATAACTTATGAAGGCCGACCATTCCACTGGTTAATTGTTTTAAGATACAAGATTAGTATCTTAGAGTCTTAGTTCACAGCCATCTGAGGAAGCACCAACAGTAGGAAACAGAGGCACATTAACACTTATTGTGAGTAGCCATATCCATAGCTGGTCCATCTCTTTCTTCTTCTTTTCATGATGCTTATTTGGGCACACACATTGTACAGCAAAGTATGTGATCACACAATATGCTGGCCTATTTTAAAATGTAAAAAACAGAAAGATTAAACTTTTGGCAAGACCTAGTAAACTAGACTCCAAAAGAAAATAAATGAATCGGTCATAAACTAGGAAATGCACTGAGGGTGATGTATGCTGGTCAAGCTATAAATCTGATATAATTTTTCACCCAAGTCACAAAAGATCATATTGTGACTGAGTCAGTCTGAGATGCAAAATGTCCATTCTAACTGTAATGGTCAAGTACCACAGTTGGTTTCCAAGAGGGAGTCAATCTAAGGAATACACATAACTTATAGGTTATCACTATATCTCCTTTCTAAAAAGCCCTTAAATGCCTAAAGCTCTTATTCTCCACCCATGCTCAGTTGAAGCTAAACAAGCCTAATTTATGAGGTCAGATTTGTAAAGCAGCTGCCTTCAATTGACTTCCCCTGGCCAAAATCCTTTGCCTGATAATCTTCTGATACTCCCCGCACTGACACTGCCATTCCCATGAGTTGGAAGCTTAATTTCCAATTAAGTCAGAATCTTCTTCTGCGTATCAGGGTTGAGAGCTGGAGGAGCAGAATCTGTGTTTTCTTTGATGATCCTGGGTTTATTCTTTTGCTTTCTGAGTTAAAAAGGCTGGTCAATTTGTTCATCTTGTGAAGAAGAAGAGAATCCAGCTGAGACCTGATATTTGGTGGGTTAGAGAGAAGAGCAAACAGTACACTGATGAATGGGCATCAAACCCAGAAGATTGAGGGAGGAGCAGGTTGGCTAGTACAGACTGAGCAAGGCTGGTATTGGACGGGGTTGGGGATTAGAAGATCCCCCCGCCCCCGAGGAGTATGTAAACATATGGGAGAGCAAAGGAAAGAATGGGGACTAATAAGGAGGGAATAATGCTGAAAAGGAAAAGGTAGGCATTGGTAAATTATCCACAGAGGTTCTAGCATGTAAGATTTGCTTTCCGTGCATGGATGAGAATGGCAAGCAGCAGGGGAACCACCAGTCAAGGACAGCAGGGGCCATAATGAAAACTGAGCATCAATCCAATCCAATTGCCAATTTAACAACCCAGTACAATCCAACCTGCGGTTTTTAATGCTGATCTCAGATATAGCCAAAACAAGCAGCT